AGGTATCTTTAGTAATATGTTCAAATTCGATGACGAGGAACCCACTTTGAGATTAATAATGGCTTGAAGAAAAACTTTAATATAAGTTTAACATAACAGCAAATGTACAACGTTTCGACAAGGTTTTGTCATCATCAGGTACCAAAACCTTGTCGAAACGTTGAATATTGCTGTTATGATAACATTTCTTCATTACCCACTCAAGCCGTCTTCGTCTTTTGTACATATGGAGTTTAAAATGTTAAGAATAATTCGATACACACTATAATAATGAATTATTAACAAGTTGTTACTGGATGCTTAAAATCACTCTATAAGTTGCATTTGTTCCTAGTTAGTAGTTGATGAGGATTTGAAATATTTTTATTTTTGCCTAATAAATAAAGGTGGCAGCGTAATCGCGAAACATGGCAGCATTGATTATGAGATATATTTCTCGTGGGTTTTTACAACAGTTGAAATTTCTAAGGTACGTTTAATAATGATCCGTCTGTAAATCAGGTTGAATTATTCCACTAATGCATTTTAATTTATTTGCTAAATTAGATAGATCTAACTCTTTTTTTTCTCTTGGTGTCGAGTGTGATAGAATCTGCAATATTGAATTAGAAATATAATTATAATTTATTTATCTAATTTATTATATTAGTAATAATGTTATTACTTTTTAACTTCAGTTTTAATTTAACTTTTAAGCTTTAATTTCAGTTTATCTTTAAGAGGAGATTGGTTGAATATTTTAAAAGTAATGGCTGAATAAAAAAATATATATATATCTAAAAGAAAGCTGCAATAAAAAGCGTAATATAATGTTATCCTCTGGAAATGAAATTTAATCGGATATTGAAGTAATATTCTCCCCTACCTTGTTAAGTTGTTTTAAGTTGCACAAATTTGTTATTTGTAGCATTTAGAATAAAGTAACATATGGACAACAAAGAACCACTTGCCTTGGTCTTCCAAGGTTATGCTTGCACACAAATCATGAGAAAAATAAAAATTTAAACCCACACTTTCATTTTAAGGAAATTATTGATTCCTCTTAGAAACTTCTAAAAAAGTGCTGGCCTCCACAACTGCCAATGGAATATCATTCCATAAGCCAATCACCCTGTTAGAAAAATAAAACTTAACTGGAGCCTAGCCCATTTTTTCAAAATTTTAAAATAAACTTGGGTCCTCTTGTCCCATTGTCTTCTTAATGTAGCAGAAAGTAGTCAGAGATTTATATTGTATCAGTCCCAAAGATAATTTTGTCAGATCCACACAGATCACCCTTTATATCACCTAACTCAAGAGGAAATGAGGTCCTAAATTGCCTTCATAAGATAATTCCTTCCATTCCCAGAATTATCCTAGTAGCTCACTAGTTTTCCTCTGAACCCTTTCCAATATATCAGTATCCTTCCTTAAATAAGAAGACTTAAAATTGTACTCATAATTCCAAGTGAGAACTAACTAGTGATTTGTATAAACTTAATAATAAAATTAAAAAAAGAAAATTATCTTTTTTTGACTTGAAATCAATACATCTATAAACTAACCCTAAACTTTTCTTAGGTTTACTACTAGCAACAGAGTTTTTCTTTATTGGATTGAATAACTTATCCACCACTATGCCAAGAGCCATTTCTTCAGTCATGCTTTTGAGTAGGTTCTCTATTTATAGTAAATACGTGATCCAAGTTATGATTGCCAGAATGCATTATCTTGAACTTTCTGTAATTAAAGGGCAAATATTTGTCAAACTTACCAACTGATCTATGCCATTTTGTAAATGTCTATAATACTGTAATATCTTTAATACAGTTAGAAATACCCAAGAGTTTAATGTCATCAAAAAGCTTTATCAATATCATTAACCTCTTATGTGAGTGAGTAGTTTTGGGACAGAAATCCATCTTGTAGTTGTATTTTTTTTTCTTAGCTATAGTGATTGTCTTTGTGTAAAATCTATATTTTTGAATTATTGGTGAAATATGACTTTCAGTTCACATAATCTGGGGCATATCTGGAGCCATAACCACATGTAACTGTCTGAAGTAAAGAACCTTGAGAGCCTTTTGCTAAAATCTCTCTGGCAGTTTACAAGGAATTGGATAGTTACATTGTATTAATAATATTTTCATTTACTCTTATGATAAAATTTTGAACTTCAATACTTTGTAAACAAACAAACAAAAAACAAGGAAAAGGGTGTGTAACCATGTGCATTTTTGCATGAAGGGAGCTATGAACATGCTAACTTAATAGCTTGCTTTTGTATGTTATGTCCAGAAGTAGGGTGATGGGCAATGTATTCAAACAAATCATTTCTAAAGAAGAGTTCATAATGAAGAATACTTCCTTCATCAGTAACAGAAACCTGCACTCCACTATTCACTGATTTCATCACATGGATCATCTAAGATATCACTAATCATACTTTCATCCACGCCTTGCGCATTTCTTCATTTCAAAGGAAATATGAGTTCAAGATGTATTTCAGAACAAGAGTTGAGTGCCATCTCTGAATGAAAAAGAAAACTAAGAAATAGTTGCAACAGCTTGGTGATTATAAATGGCATAGCCATAAAGTTGAAGCCAAAATTTTGTGTGGCATATACATATATCATACACAACCTGGGAGCATTTCCTTATTTTAAGAAGTATGAAAAGCAAAGGACCAAACAGTGACCCCTTTTACCTTCTTCCATCTAACCATCCGGTTAACTAGTCTTTCTCTAACCCTCATTTTTTGTGATTTTTTGTAGATAATCTTTAGTATATCACCTTATGAAAAGCTTTTTGAAAATCTGAGTATACTAGATTCAAACCATTTTCCCTGTCCAGACAAGTAACATCCTCAAAAAAAAAAAGAAGTGACAGATTAGTAAGGCAAGGAACCTTTTTGGTGAATTCATTTTAACTTTCTTTTATGACATATTTCACTAAATGTAAAGCTCTTTTATCAGATTTTCTAGAATTTTTCCCATCACAGAAGTAAGAATAACTATCCTATAAGTTTCAGTGAAACTCCACTCTTTTAAAGATTGGAATAACATTAGCAACTCCCTGATCTTAGGCATCTGCTCACTATCTGTTGATCTATTAAAAATGAGAGAAGTTTGTGTACCGATTCTTTGACCTCTTTTGAAATCCTGGGGATAAGCCTTGTTTGATTCTGGTGCTTTATCTGTCTTTAATCTTTAGTCTTTTTGCTCACTGCCAAGGGATTAATATCTAAATGATTCAATAAAAACCTTGCCATCAGCATCTTTTAAGAGTCAAATCTCCATTTTAATATTTTGCTTACCTTTAGCATACTTGCCATTAGTGTTAACATTATCAACCAGCTGTTTCTCACAAGCCTTTTGGATTTCTTATTGTTAACCAGATTTATAGCTTTTCTGTAAGTTGTGTAAATCTTTCAAATTACTTGTCAATTTAAATTTATTAACTGTGTCATATATCCCTGGTTTTTGTCCTTTATGGTTTTAGTAAGTCAGTTTGGTTTGATCCTCCTTGTTATCCTTTTTCTTTTTCAAGAAAATGCAAATCTTGAATTAAAAGAAATATATTTATCAAATTTTCTCAAATCTGCCCTAATCATCTTTTAACTCATTATCCCACTAATAATAATAAATTTTGTCTCCTGACTTCAAATCTGGCTTTCTGAAAATTAAGAACTAAAATTTTATATTATCTCAGTATGTTGTATCAAACATAATTATCCTATTATCACTCTTCCCAAAAGTCCCCTCCACTTCAATTCTTACAAGTATATCCTCATTAATGGTTAACAACAAATCTCAAATGGCATATCTCCTTCCCTCCAGTTGGCTCTCTTACTATTTGTTATAGAAAACCATCCTGAAACACTTCAAAACATCTCTTTTCCTCACTATGTGACTCCATAAAGTCCCAATCAGTGTATCCAAAATTAGTCTTCCATAATTATGGCATCAGTATTTCAGTACTCATAGTAGTAAAACTGTGATCTCATTATACAATTTCTCATTGCCCTTATCTTTCTGATCACGTGGCATATAACAGTTGTGAGTTAAAAGCTTTCTACACTTGAAACAATTGTAATTCAAAAACTTTCTGCCCTTAAGATCCCTGATTGTAACCCATTTAGATTCAGCCTTCTAACTACCATTTTTTGTGACTTCAAACAGGGTGCATTTTATTCATTATGTAAAGAGCTACCTCATCCTCTCTTTAAGAATTATGCTATTGTTAAATTATTTATAACCTGGAACTTAAAGATTATTATTATTATCAGTGTACTTCAAATCTGTTCAGTAACTGTCATTATATCATAGTCTTATTCTAAGTAAAGCCCTGAATGTGTCCATTCTGTTCCTAATACTCCTAATGTTAGAATAATAGTAACTAAGTTTATTATTGAATCTACAATGTTTATCTTTAAATCTAACAGATTTATCTAAAGCAGTTATTTAACTTGTTATTTTCAAACTCCTCTTTGTTATACCAGTCCTATCAATTTTTTTGTTTTTCAAATTTACCTTTAATTTAGAAAATTAGTTTAAGCAATCCTTAATGAATATATTTAAAACATTATTAAACACCCTATTACCTAACCTGCTAATGTGCAACCCTTCTCTACCTACTACTTTAAACATATCCCTGATAACCTTGCACTTAAGCTTTGGATCCTGCTAAGTAATTCATTCCCACATCTCGCCCATGGAGCACTCCAAATGGGCCATATATCTATTTGTATCCCTAAACCTCTGAAATAATGCTTTATACTTTTTAAGCAGCTCTTTTTATTTAAAATTTTCAACATCATTCATTTCTTTATGCACTACAAAAAAAAAGATTAAGTTTTTTGATACCAGCAACTTTAGCACTTGACAAATAAATTCTAGTTCTAGTCGCTATCAATATATCTATTGAGAGAGTACCCACTGTGTAATTTTTATGCTCATCTTGTTCCTCATTGCAAGCAGCCAAAGGTTCAAAACTATCCACTTTTTGTCTTCTTTCCTTGGTTTCCGCTTCTAATATGCTGTTTTCCTCTCTAACAGCCCAATCTTTCCTAAAATTATCAGAGTTCTCAAGTAAATAAGCTATGCAAGTGTGATGTACTACTGCCTAGGTTTAGCTTTGTTTACAGTTTAATATAACTTATAAATCTATAATTTTATTACAACTGTCAGTGCATAGTCTGTGTATGTTTAATAATTGTTTGGGAATTGGAATTTTGACAATTTAAAAGTGAACATTTGGATTTAATACCTTTTGCATGTGTCTAGGTGTGCACATTATTAATAATGAAATGCTGTAACAGAATACTATGGAAATAAATAGTTTATAGTTGTATAGGATAGCTAATAAATGTCAGAATGGAAAAAAAATGCTTATAAGGCTATGTCCAAATCAGATATGGCTAGTTAGTTTGTAAAAGAACATAGGAAGTCAAACTGTGAAGCTGGCCTTCTGATTTCTATAAAGGATATTGGACAGACCTCAACTTTCATCTGACTTGTATGAAGATATTCATACTTTTGATTGGTACTCTTGGCATGATCTCAGATTGTTCAATATTGTACTACAAACGTAATTTGCTTATCAAATGAGCTGCTGAAGGAAATGGAGAGAATTTATAGAATATATCACTTGACGTCTGTAACAGGGATTTAGTGCTACAGTAGTGCTCTGGCACTTGAAAGCTAGAAATGGAAATTAGGTTTTGAATGAGTTATTTAATTTGGTGGCATCACATGTGTGACATAAATTTTGGCAGGGCTCCAACACTAAATTTAACACTGTGCTCCTGGCCTGCAATGATTGAAAGTTTTAACAAAAAGGAGAGCAAACGTTTTTAGATGAATTGGGAGATTGCATTAGTTGAACTTGATGTTTTTCTAGGATTAGACCTAGTACTTTGGTGACAGTAACCTAAGTAGGCACTGAAGATAGTTTAATTTGCAAATATTCATATATAATGTCATTTTCATGTGACTAAACCAGGATTAAATATGTAAGAAGTATTAAACTCTTACTTATTCTTCTTATTAAATCTACTAATATTGTAAGAGGGTTCCTATGCATTTTTACAAATAGTACATGAAATTATCAAACTGTAAAGTTCTAGTGATTCATTAGACTGTGTGTAAAATTTGTACATCAAGGGTATCTTGATTTTATGACTTGTTTTGTGATGTTTGTAGAAGTTTGTGGTGTGTATTATACTTATATATCTGTAGAAGTATCTCAAAAAATTACTGTTGTGTGTGTGTCAAACAGCTAATGCAAAAGATACTAAGTTTCACTGAATAGTGTCTGCAGACAGAGAAGTAGGCATAATTATCATATGAAACATTTACCTTTTTTACACAAAATAATACATTTCAAAATATTTGTTCTTTATGTTTTTATCATAGTGGTGGTCTACTTGCTTGTTATTCTTCTGTATTAGTTGGTAACAGTAAATGTCACTTTTGTTTAAAAGTTGCTGTGTAAGTTTGTGTAGTAATTTTTTTAATAACATTCTGTAATTATACTCAACTTAAAAATACATGTGTGTGTGTCTAGGTTTCTTTTATTTCACCATAACAGGTTATGTCAACCAGTTACGTATCATGACTCTCAGAAAGCACTGTTTCATACAGTTACCAGTCAAAAGTTTCACTTACTTTACAAGAGAGGTGTAATTCAAGACAAATTTCCAGATGAAAGGTAAGTCAATTCTAATAAAAGGAAACAAACAACAGTTGTGAATTTGTTTGGACTAGCAAGAAAAACTGTGAATCTAATCTTGGTATGTCCACAGACTATGTTGTAGCTAGTTGCCACAGAGGATTAGTAATTGTGTGTGGTGAAATGTTTTTGTCAGTTAAGTGTCCAGGTGGTAATACACATGAAATCCAACTTGCACATGTCAGACTCCTCAAAATCCCAATTCAATTGTATGTCAGTTTTTTAACTACCATGTATAACTGAAATATAGATCAGGCTACAGAAGTTGATTATATTATAATAAAACAGTTTTGGAGCCCCACCACATCGTTACTGTCCATGTCACCATCTCCAGTCATGCTCTATCTGATTACTGCACATCTTGACAATAGCCCTACAGTATAGTTTCCAATACATAGAGCTCTTTCACAAGACTGACATGTCTAAAGTGACACCATTCCTCTCTGCATTGTTTCCATAATCCATTGAGTATATGAGTAATGGTCCACATGTACAGAAATCCATAGGTGCTGCATCTCGTGACTTGACTGATATGTCTTAATAGGGATTAACCTGAGTACCAATTTCATTCTCCTGCTACTTGAGGTATGTGACGGGTGAATAGGAAGTATGATTGGAAGCCTTATCTTGGTGAACCCTGTGAAGACCCTTCTTGATTATATTGCTTACTGTTGCCTGGGGCATGTGGACAGCCTTTGCTACTGATGTTTGTATTTATGGATTCTCACCTGTTACAAGATGCTGCATTTTGCTTACCTTGGCTAGGGTACAACTTGTTGCAGGTTTGTTTCTGGTGGTTTTGGTGCCTCAAGTTGATCCATATTTTTTTATTTTCGTATACCATTAAAAACGAGGGAAATTATAAACTCCCTGATCTGAATATGTCTTATGATTTGACCACATGAATATTTTATATTGGAAAGGGCACATACCTTTCCCAAAAGTGATAAGTTTTCAGTGGCATCTATCTATGAAATTCCAGATTATGTCAAAATGTTGTTGTGATGCACATAATTCTACCACAATTTTATATCAGATGTGGTTGTCACATGACATGCTGACTTGCATATTCAAAATATATTTAAAATAATGTACTTAACTTGCTGTATACCTACAATTGGATAAAAATTCCTTGATTTTTCAGTGATATGAATACCCCTAGCTGGTTACAATGAAACAATCTCATAGAACCACTTAAAATCTCCAAACAAGAACTGCATCTTCCTTTAATAGCTGTAACAAGCAACACAGACTAAAGGTGTTTAATTAGCATTTGTTGCAACAAGCCATTTCTGATTTTTGGACAAAAGTAACTCAAAGTAGGTCAAAAAAAAAGTCTTCAGTTTTTAGACCTACGTACACAAAGGCTGTTGCCAAGAAATCAGTAAAGGCAACCATTATATTCAAGGTCGATGGTACAAAATATATCTGTGGTTAGAATTTTTAGATTTAATAATGTTTTAGCTACTTGTAGAACCTTTTGGAGTAATTTAAAAATATTTCAAAGATTTTGGCAGTAATAGTGTAAAAGATTTATTTTCATTAACATGAATTGTGAATAGTGAGATCTCAAACATTAATTTTCTGTGAAACTTGTGTAAAAATAATTGTTTTATGTATGAAGGAATTAAATAGTTTTACTTTTCAAATGCCACTTAAATTTCCACCAAAATTTTAAATAACTATGCACTAACTAAGCAACTGTTTTTATTATTTATAGTCCAGACATACCATTCCTGTTAGATGGAGGAAAGCAGTGCATCTACAGTGGATTTGATCCAACTTCAGATAGTCTTCACATAGGAAATTTACTGGTCATTATTGTGTTAATGCATTTACAGAGGTTGGGACATGTAATTCTTAGTGTGGTAAGTCCTAGATATTTGAATTTTGTGTTTTCTTATGTGTTGAATGTCATGTGCACCCTGGAGCTTAGTTTTTTAAGATAGGTTCCACGATGTGGAAAGTCATTTTATTAATTACAAGCTGAGTTACCCGGCATTGCACTGTGAAAATTTAGATTTGAAATGTATAGATCAGTATTTTTTTCAGCAAATTATTCAGTAAGTGGACAAAAGCGAGAAATAAAAAAGCATCATTGCATTCTGGGAGATTAAATTATCTAACATGTTCAGTAGGAGGTCTCTTGTTGGCATCAATGATGATTTTGTATTCTGTAGGAGGTACATTTTCTAGAGCATATTTAAAACATTGAATGTAATTATTTGAAGCATGAAACATGTCTTGAAGTTCAACAATTAGTTCCAATCTTGTTGCTGGGCTTCTATTGTATCTATTTTGTGCTTGATGTTGCAAATCTCCAACAAAGTACAATTGAAGATACCTTGGTTCTTCATGAGGTAATGGTTGAAGTGAACCTATTCTGTGATATATTTGACCTTGAACTTTAAATGTAGGCATGAATTCTCCTTCACTAATGGTATTAGCTCCAAATGAGGTAATTTGAAATGCAGAATTGTATGCTTGAATATTTTGTAAGAAGTGTTTAGATTCAGATGTAATGCCTGTAAGTAAAGTTTTAAAAGGTTCTGAAGGTTCCAAAAGCGCAGGTAATTGAATCTTTCCTTTGGTACAACACATTCCTGGTGATTCTTTATCCCACTTTTTAGCACCACATTTATCACATATTTTTGACATTGATCCAATAGTAACCACTTTGTCAGATGCATAATTATATTGTGGATTATAATTAAAAGCACTTAAATTCCACTGTCAAGCATTGAAGCTCGAGATCATGTTTGAGCTTGTCTTGTTCTTTGAGCCTGAAGTCGTACATCATGTTGCTCCTCTGTTTCTTGCTCTCTGTAAGTTATTTGTCTTAATTTTTGTGCTTGAAGTATGGTTTGACGTTGTTCAGAAGTTTCTTGTTGTCTATATCCAGCTTGCCTTGATGATTCTAACTGAACTCTGGCTTTGTGCTGTTCAACAGTTTCTTGCTGTCTTTGAGTAGCTTGCCTTTCAGCTTGAGCTCGAAGTCTAAGTTACGTTCCTCCAAAGTCTCTTCCTGTATTTGAGCACCCTGTACTGCAGCTTGTGCTTGAAGTCTTTGATTGTGTTCTTCTTCTGTTTCAGCTGCTGTTTGTACTTGTATTCTTTTGGCGGCAGAAGACTTTCCATAGA